TTTTAAAAAACAGACACTTATGGAAATTATAATATGATTTTACAATTTGCCAGTGATGGGAACTTACGGGAATATTTGTCGAAAAACTTTATATCATTACAATGGATAGATAAATTATATATTGCGAAAGAAATAGTAAAAGGTCTCATTTTTTTACACAATATTAATATCGTCCACCGGGACTTTGTAAGTTTATAATGTTTAAATTGCATGTTTTATAATAATTAATTCATTTCTGATTAGTTTAAGTTATATTATTTCATAGCATTCTAAGAATATTTTAGTTCATCAAGGACAAATAAAAATTACAGATTTTGGTTTAGCGAAAAAGATAGATGAGAATGCAATGACATCAAACTCAAAAGTTTACGGAATGGTGGCATATATGGAACCTAAATGTCTCCAGAATCCTCAATATAAACGTGATAAGAAATCTGATATCTATAGTCTTGGTGTGATTCTCTGGGAAATTACAAGTGGCCAACCACCATTTAAATCTTATCCAAGAGAGTCTCTTTCTATCCACATCTTCCTAGGAAATAGGGAGATACCTGTCAAAGATACACCTCCTCAATATGTTGACCTTTATAAAAACTGTTGGAATGGTGATCCTGCTATTCGCCCAGATGCAATTTCAGTTCTTACAGTTTTAAATCATCTTATTTATAACGAAACTCCGAATCAATTCATTCCTGGAGAAACTTTAAATCAACTTACTTCTGGAGAAGCCGTAAATCAATTTGCTTCCGAATCTTTAAATCAATCCACTTTCAATGAAACACCAATTCAAAATGATGAAGCATTTCTTTCAAAGCAAGATAATATAACAAATTATTCAACTGAATTCACAGCAACAACATCTTTTCATTTACCCGACATACTTGAAATTCAGAATCCTTCAAATCATTATAATTACGCTCTTGAGAATATGAGAAGGGAAGCTTTAATACTTTTTCTTGCGGGTAGGTATGTCAAGGCATTGGAACTTTATGAAGAAATTCTCAGGAATTACCAGTATAATAGCGAAGATCAACAAAACGTTTCAAATTGGAATCTTTCTTGTCGATACCTTGATCCTGAAAGGATAAAAGAATTAACAGAGGCTCTTTGCAAGACCACTACTTTAACTCATTTAGACATTAGATATTATAAGCTTGGTTTAGAAGAAGGGAAAGCATTAAAAAAAGCACTTTGCAAAAATACTACCTTGACTTGTTTAAAAATTGATTGTGATGAAATTGATACTGAAGGAGAAAATGCATTAGCAGAAATTCTTTGTGAGAACACTACATTATCATCCCTGGATATTCATTGGGATCAACATGAAGAGGCACTAGCAGATGCTCTTCGTAAGAAAAATGATACTCTTTACGCTTATTGGATTGATGGCCCTAAAGGCGGTAAAGTACTAATAAAAGCTCTTTGTAAAAACACTACTCTGACTTCCTTAAATATTGGATTTACTAAACTTGGATCTGAGGTAGGAGAAGATTTAGCAGAGGCTCTTTGCAACAATACTGGTTTAAAATCTTTGGGGCTTAAATCTATTAAACTAAGTTCTGGAGGGGAAAAGGCAATAGCAGGTCTTTATAAAAACACATCCATAACTTCTTTAGATATTTCAGACAATGAACTTGATTTTAAGGGAGTTAAAATGCTAGTGGAGATACTTTATAAGAATACAACTTTAACTTCCCTGAATATTAGTAAAAATGATTTGAACTCGGAAGGAGAAAAATTATTAGCGGAAGCTCTTTGCAAAAACACCACCTTGACTTCTTTAGATTTTTCATGTATTTCTGAGGGAGGAAAAGTATTAGTAGAAGTTCTTTGTAAAAACACTAATTTAACTACCTTAATTCTTTCAAATAATATGCTTAGTTCTGAAGCAGGAAAGGCAATAGCAGAACTTCTTCATGTGAACACCACTTTGACTTTGTTAAATCTTTATCGTAACAAACTTGGATCTGAAGGAGGAAAGTCATTAGCAGAAGCTCTTTGTAAGAACACAACTTTGACTACTTTAAATCTTGGATATAATAATCTTGGTTCAGAGGGAGGAATAGCTTTAGCAGAAGCCCTTCGCAAGAATACTACATTAACTTCTTTGTATATTGATAATAATAATCTGGGATCTGAAGGAGGAAAAGCATTGGCAGAAGCTCTTTGCCAAAACATTACTTTGACCTTTTTGAATCTTGAAAATAATCAGCTTGATTTTGAAGTAGGAAAAGCGTTAGCAGAAACTTTTTACAAAAATACTTCCTTAACTACTTTAATCCTTAATACAAATCAACTTGGTTGTGAAATTCTATTAAAAGCACTTGGTAAAAATACATCTCTAACAACTTTGGATTTTTCAAATAATGGATTTGATTCTGAAGCAGGAAATGTGTTAGCAGAATCTTTATGTGAAAATACCACTTTAATTTCTTTAAATATTTCGAATAACCCAATTAGATTGGAAGGAGGTAAAGCATTGGGAAAGGCTCTTTACAAAAATGCTACTTTAACATCTTTAGACATTTCATGTAGTGAACTTGATTTTGAGACGTGCAAAGTATTTGCAGAAGCCCTTTGTGAAAACTCTACTCTAAAATATCTTGATCTTAAACATAATAAGCCTGGTTCTGAAGCAGGAAGAGCATTTTCAAAAGCTATTTGCAAGAACACTACTTTAACTCATTTAAATATTGTTGAACTTGATGGCTTTGATTTTGAAACAGGGAAACTCATAGTAGATGCTCTTAGCAAGAACAACACTTTAACTTATTTTAATTATTCATGTACTGAAAAAAATGAAATATTAGTAAAAATGCTTAAAGATAAAGCAACAGCATCTATATTACGGAATTTTAATTTTATGCAATAAATAAAATGAAAATTATTATAACATTAATTTACTTATTTATTTACTGTAATGAAATAATTGATAATTTCTTTTATTTGTTATAGTTATTAAGAATAGCTATAGTAGAAACAAAGTAGAAACATTTATTAATTAAATATTTTAGATGATTAACTTTCACTAACCAATTTTCAATAATTAATTACTTATGCCTGTATACACCATAATCCATGCATGATTAAAAATGAATTCTCTTTTATCTGAGTGCCGCCAAGGGAAAACCTGTCATCGGACTTTCAATTATATTTTGTGTACAGTTAACCGTCTATGAAAATCTATCATAATGATGGATTTCCATAGATGGCTAACTGTACACAAAATATAATTGAAGTCCGATGACAGGTCTTCCCTTGGCGGCACTCATATGTTTTTTCAGTAATTACAATAGTATTCGGAAGTTGTTTAGAGGTATGTTAGCCAAAATTAACCGATCAATTGCAAAAGTAGATAGAAATTTTAAAATTTTAATACAGATTGAAAAAAAATAAATTAGGATAAGGTTGGCTTATTTCATATGGGCCTTTCTCTAGAGCCAGTTGGTTACACTATATCACTTAGACTAGAAGTCAACTCGGATTGGATTAACTTGAACCGAAATTACAGTGAACTAAAATTGGTTCAAATTGATCCAATTCAATTCAACTCAAAAAGCATCAGCGTAGAGCTTGGAACCGGTTTTGATTGGTTTTTACATATGAAAAATAAAACCAGTTCCAAACTCGTAAATTACCTTAACTTAGCGTTAAGTTACCAACGTTGATGTTACACGATGATCCTTCACCCGGTGTGCAACATGTAAAAAAATTATTTTACAATACCAGATCATTCCGCTAGTACATGTTATGGTTATAATCCTACTCCATTTTTATTACAGTATAATAAAATGGTATTGGATTATAATCATAACATGTACTAGCGGAATGATCTGGTATTGTAAAATAATTTTTTAATATGTTGCACACCGGGTGAAGGATCAATCGTGTAACATCGACGTTCCCTCCTATTTAAGTTATCGTTACAAAAAAAATATTATGGCTGGTAACTTACCAGTGATAACTTACCGCGGTAAGTTATCACTAACAACCTTGATAAGCATTATAACTTGATTGACTCACAATTGGCTCTAACGATAAAAAGAGCTAACAAATACGAATCGCGTGACTATCCAACTGGTCTTTGGATTATATGTTATAATTTTTGTTTTGGGCTCTTATTTTTCTTATTTTAAATTTAATTATTGTTATTCCTATAAAGAAAGTTAATCCGTCTTATATTCCATGTTCTATTCATAAATGTTGCATATTTGTGGGATTTATACCTTCAAGTGACGGAAATTATTTGGTCTACCACATAATGTTGCAGATACACGGAGTTTTTACAGAAATTAAGGAGATATTCAAATAAATTTTTTTTACAGTATATATATTTATGCATAAAAAACGAAAGATCATCATTTAGATAAATACAATAAATAAAATTTATTTCAAATAATTCTTCGCGATACAAATAATTATTAAAAAAGATTGTAACGTATCAAATGAAGAGACAAGGAATGAAATTTTTTGTATGGAAATTTCAATTAATTAGATAGTGCAAGTTATAAAATTATAAACGAATATAAACGAAACGAAAAAATCGAAAATGAGGGAAAAATGCTTAATTTAATTATACGTTGGAATTCAATTTTTGTTATCACGTCGTAAAAGGAAAAAGTCCTATGTCATAAATATGTGAGTATTAAGGCGTAAAGTGGTATTTATGGAAAGCAAACTGCAAAAAAAAAAGGAAATAAAAAGAAAAAAAAAGGAAAAAAAGAAAAAAAGAAAAGAAAGAATAGATAAAAAAAAAAATGAAAAAAGAAAAAATGAAAAAAAATGAAATGAAAAAAGAAAAAAGAAATGAAAAAAAGAAAAAAGAAAAAAAGAAACAGAAAAATGAAAAAACAAAAGTACTCTTTGAACTTTACCAATGATAAAAAAAATCGGCAAAAAATCATGTAGAGTCTAAAGAGAGAGCCGTGTTAGCACATGTATCTAATTAAATATAAATCATAAAAATTAAAGACTTATACTTTTAAATGTTCATTTTGTTATTAGGAATTTCTTCCAAGTACGACCACAGCGTCGGCTTCCTTTTCTGCTTCAATACCGTATCTTTCACGGATGAATTCTCTCAATTTCATGTTTTCATTTTCAGCACGTTCAAGACGAGATAAATAAGGATTAATTGGACTATTAGGAGAAATTGGCGTTGGCGGAGTGATTGGAAAGGTCAATCGAGGCATATTTTGATGCTTAAATTGTTGTGGTAATTCATATTTTGAATCATATTTAGAATCATCTTTTGAACTATCTTTTGAATCGTCTTTTAAATCATCTTTTGACTGAAAAGCATTTAACATAAATTGTTTTTGTGTCATATTAATGTCTCTACTATATTCATTATCAACACGTTTAGTAATCCAGGGAAATCCAGTTGCAGTAGATTGTTTGTCAGTCTTGTATGGAGAGATGGGAGTTAGATTTTGATTAAGTGGATCCAACAATTTGAAGGAGGGGATTAAAATAGGTTTGTCAAGTTTTGGACGTTGCTTAGAAGATGGTTTTTTTATGTTAGGATTGGAGTTTAAATCTAACCAATTACGGGTTTCATTATCTTGTTTTTGCTCTTTCAAGATATATGTCGTTGGCTTTACAATTTTTGCACGATAGTCGCTGTGATAAATACTCAATTGACGAGTTCGAATTCCTTCATCTGAACTACGGTCCGTAGAATTTGGTTTAATATTATTTGTTGTCGTAGTAGATTTTTCAGATGTTGAAAGATTTAATGAAGTTGTAACGCAAGTTGATGAAGTCGAATTAAAATAGGAATCACTATTTATCCCAATTTTGTTTCGGAGATTATCGTCGGTACATTCAAAGTCGGAATCTTCAAATTCGGAATCATCAAATTCATTTTGGGATTCATTACCCGAAATTTCAACATCATTAGAATAGTACAATTGATCACAATTCATGTCTTTGGAATCCATATCTTTAAACCCTTTAGCATGAGGATTATAATTTTTCTTTAAAGAATTAACAGCATCATTTTGATAATGAGTAACAGCAATAAAAGTAGTCTCTTCGAACGAGGTGACTATCTCTTGGTCATTATCATTAATATTGGTCGCATGTTTAACCATTTTCACACGAGGTTGATACTTATGAAAAGAGGTCAAACAAAAATGACCATCAGGTAAGGAGGACACATTATTTGAACCGGAATTCCGCGGACGACCGCGTTTTTTTGATTTTAATTGGTTATGACAAGGACGATTTGTGAGTTTAATTTTTGGGAAATTGACACCACAATTCATCCAATAAGCGCCTATTATTATATAAAATAAAATACAATTTCATTAAATTTTTCATTAAATTTTTCATTAAATTTTTCATTAAATCATTCATTAAATTTAGTTAAATTTCTAAATTTATTAAAATTACCAGATTGAGGGGAGTCAGGATGCTTAAACGGACGACCTCCAACCATGCCAGTTTTAATTCTCCCGTTTCGACTATTTAAATTGTTTAGAGAAAATTTGCGTTTATCTACACCGATAGAAACCCAACTTCCTTTTTTAAACCGGAAACGAGTAGGAGATACTTGAATAAAATCAACGATAAAAGAATATGTAGCCGATGGATCAAGGTTCATGGGCTTAAATTTTAATAGTGGAAACATGCATCTGCCCGATTTTGTGATGATCATCTCGTTTTCAACACTATAGAATTGAGACCAAAGCTCCGCGCCATCCAGTAAAAGTTTTTCGCGTGGTTCATAATAAATATTTTCTTTACTCGTAATTAGTGGTGGTTGGGGAGAGAATTCATAGGAACGAATAAGTGAAGGCAACGACGATAATTTATGAGCAGAATTTTGGTTATCACAACTTGCAAAACAATTGTAAGTTGGTAGATTGCCACCAAAAATAAAGCTGGGTCCAACGCTTTTACTTTCAGTTTGAATCTCTTGATTCTTGTATTCTTGTTCAGATTCCTTATTAAAGGCAGCATGAGAATAGACCTCTTCAGAGTTATCGAGAAGTCGATGGATATTCATGATCGATGACACGAGATGTAAAGGACGCTTAATTAATAATAAAGTTAATAAGGTAAGCATTTAAAGACATGACTTTTTTGTAAAAGTTTTTGTAAAAGTTTTTAGTAATAATATGACTATTAAATAAAAAATTGTAATTACTCAATATTTCCAAGAGATATCAAAGAAAGTAAAAGTCTTAACACTTGAAAACTTATTAGAAGGTAAAAAAGGTGTTTAGAGATGTCAAATGTTGGTATTCTGCTCGTACGTTAAATATATACCTTTGAAGCTCCGATGCTTGTACACGACAGATGTTTCTTTATAAACGATTCATTCTATAGAAACTGAGATATTCCAATTTTATAACAAAACCAAAAAAATTTTTTAGTACAATTCGGAGTTTTAACAGTCATAATGATAAAATACATATGTTTTTTTCCCATAAATAACTATCATACAAATGAATATTAAAGAAATTCTGTCTCTTTAATCATTCCACGATAATTTATGATATTAAATTTATTTGTGATATCAAAGCTATGAACATCGGATGATTTTTTAACTTTTAAATTGGCATGATTTGCATGTTAATTCTTAGAAATCATTTTACGTTGATGACATATTCAATCATTATTTAAATTAAAGACTCAGTCATCTTAATTGCCACAATAATTCTTATGTCACTACTAATGTAATAATAATGTTACTTATGGAATTCATTCTCTTGTATATTTTTATTATACTATATAACAATAGCGCTAATATTCGGATCATCAAATGTGTGTTATTGTATCAAAAAACCTGATATACATTATCCAAATGACACTATTTGTTTAAAATGAATTAGAATAATCATGTATATTTAAAAGCGTTTATAAAAAAAAAAAAAAACTTGTTACGGTTGTTACTGGTTTTATTTAATAATAATAATCAAGATCCGCGTGATGACATATCTATTATTTAGAATTACGCGTAAAAAAAGTGTATTTTGACGAAGAAATATTTCGTAAATCTGGTGATCAGGACTGATACACCTTAAGTACAACTTTTCCAGCCATTGGCCACGAAATTTTCGATATATAAACAGATTTTACAATATTATTCTTATATCAATTGTCTCTTGTGTTCGACTCTTCTCATTAAGACTCAACAGATTGGTGTGATTTCTGTGATCAAAGCAAATCACAAAAAATGTATGGTTTACAGCAATTTGCTTCGATTATAGCAAAATATATTTTTCAAAAGATAGTCTAAAGCCAGTTGGTTTTAAATCAAAAGTCACGTGACACACTTAAGATGCCACAAGGCTTTAGACGATCTCTTTTTGAGCAGATTAAACAACATAATGATATTTTTTAACAGATATAATAATTTTTTTTAGAGGTAAATAAGAAATTACTATAAAATAGTATCTTGTTCAGTGAAACAGAATAAATTATAATAGTATATTAGATTATATTAAATTTATAATTATTTTTTTAAAATATAGAATTGTCCGAAGTGTAGCAATGAATGCAGGCTCATGTAGTATCCGGTGATGATTTCAAGTCCCGTGAAAGTTTAAATTAGTGCAACAATTATTATAGTGTACATATATTGTAAGTGGAAACGGAATTTAAGTGGATTCGGAATTTATATATAAAACCCCTCCGTTTTGAGTAGATTTAATCATATGTACACCCTAACCCAAATTTAACTAGAAAATTCCAAATCCACTTAAATTCCATTCCCACTTACAACATATATACTATAAGTATACATGTAGAATACAGTAACTCTTAGCATTGCTTCGGACTCATATCAGATTCTGATTTCCTAGTATTATCAAGAAAATAGAGCTGTATTAGTAGTTTGGACATAACTGCAAATGCTTTTCTGACGATTGCAAACATAAACAGTCGAAATGAAATTTAATGCAATAAAAAATCGCAAGATTTTTCTTTATTATATCTGTACTTTTATTATTAATCAGCAGTAAATCAAATAATATGCCGATGTCGAAAGTATATTTTGCTAAATTATCACAAATTCCATAGTCCCTGGTTGTAGAATTATTATTAGACTAAATCATCATAATCATTACGGATTCTATCAATTTGCTTATCAATTTTGTTTAATTAAACTATATATCAAAGATGAAGTTAAATTATTAAACTGCATCACATGGTTTTATTATAAGCCCAGCATTGCAAAAAAATTATTTTCCAGCAAAACTCATCGTTAGGTTTTCTGATGCGCACAAAATTACGTAAATTTGCACTTTTATCTTATCATTCAAGATGCCTAATAAAGATAACTATCTGATCGAGTTCATTTAAAAAATTGAATTTATTTAAACTTATATTTATCATATAATAAACAATTTTTCATGACTCATTATTATTCATTTCTTTATATTAAAATAAGACTTTTAAATAAATCAGCCTTTTGTTATTTGAAATAACATTTTTATCGACTATGGTATGCTAACTAGTCCGGTACGGTCCGGTCTAAGTATTATATGAACCAGACCAATAACTAAATGGTTTAATTGATCTAACTTTGATAAAAACATACGTATGCACCAATTTGATCTCCAAAATCAGCCAATCAGGATTGAGAATTATCGTTTTAGTTCTCATAAAAATGGTCTTTTAAACTTACTTTGAATTCATATTTAAAAATATAGAATATTATGGCATCCTTTTGTTTAATTATAAGTGGAAGTTATATATTGTTATACCGAATACAAGAATATATTGTGATAATGTATATTTGTTATATTAAATACAAGAATATATTGTGTTAAATAATTTTAATTATTGTGCAATGTTATTAACGACTGCACTAAAAAAATTCTCATATTTGTGCAGTTTACGTCATTAATGTTTTATATCTTTTTTTTTTTTTTTTATGACGATACTGATCGACCCGGTCCAACGGCCGGGTCGATGATCAGCCTGAGCCTTTGTGCGCTGGGCCGGTTGATAAGAGAAGTGTTAGAATCAATTCTTTTCTAAAGCAAATTTCAGCTGGAAATTGAATAAACATCGGCTAGTCGTTTATAATAATGTAAGAGGAAGTTGATTTATTTAGATAATAAATTAAACATAATATACACATCTCACTGGGGTTATCAAATATATCGGTATGTATAGTCCCATACAAAAATCAAATAGACAATTTTTTTCGTGCAACAATCACGATGATCTATACTAAAAATCCTAACATTATTAGGATTATTGAAAATTCTTAAAATTAATAAAAAACGCTCTTTTAGTTTAAAATATAGGTTCGCTTGAACAATCGAAAAAATGTTTTAAGCCAGTTAATATATAATTTACAGAGGAGACACAATTTGAAATTTGATAATTTTTTATAATCGTTTTATGTAAGATTTTTAAACTTCAAATTGTATCTCCTTCTCAAATTTCATATTAACTAAATTTAAAATTTTGCTCGATGGCTCAGCAGAGCTTATATTTTAAACTAAAAGAGAGATTTTTTAAAAAAAAATTTTATTAACTTTTTATTTAATTTATTGAAATTAGTGATCTAAGTCGATAGCACTTTAGTCGACTTAGCCGGCTAAGTCAGTCAATTTTTTTCAAAAACCTGCTTAGGGTGTTCTCAAGCAGCTCCCTCAATGTGATTAGCTAGTGATAGGGATGTTGCTCAACATTACGGCTAATTTTGATTGTGATCTAAATAGTAGAACCGATTATTATAATTCTGGTCAAATTGCAGATCATTTGGCCAAGTTCAGAGTTTTTTGATCCCTAATTTGGCCAAATGATCTGCAAATTTGATCAGAATTATAAGTAATCGGTTCTGCTATTTAGATCACAATCAAAATTAGCCGTAATGAATCATTGCGATCAATTGAGTGGTTAATGAAGGATGACTTGCTAAAATTTCATTGTGAATTGCGGATTTTGAATTTTAACTAATCAAAGCAACTCTATAAAAAAAAAAAATGGTCTGCACCTCCAGATTTTTTTCATCGAAGTGGTAACCTCCTTGACTAATTTATTTAATTTCCGACTAATTAAAATTTTGCCTCCGATCCATTGAGTGAGGTGCTTGAGACAACCTTAGTCGACTCCTAATAATCCATAAACCAAATGCATTAAAAAACTGATTTTGAAATCTTTATTTATTACAACTCCGTTTAATATATATAACCAAAAAAAATTAATTCATAGTGTTCATAATATTGCTACATTATTTAATAGACTTAAAATAATCAGATAAAAATCTTTCTCTGATTCTTTATTATGATCAGACCATCAAATAACTTTATTATTTGATGGAAAATCATGTATATTATAGTTTATAATAGTGTATTTTTGTTATTTGATAGCAACATTTACTTATTATTCGATGGCAACATTTACTTATAATTTGATGGCAATATTTAATATTTACTAATTATTCAAGACAATATAATAATATTATTTGTAAATAGGCTTTAAGAGTTAAATGAGTACCTTCAATGTATGAAGTTATAGTTGTCTCTAGATAAAAATAAGAGTTTGTTTATACTACAATAATCTTTTTTTTCAATAGTATTCAAGTATCTTTAAAATATGCAATAATATGAAGTTTATTAATATAAGTAGAATGAAATATATTCTTTTTTTTTCTTTGGCAATCCTGTTTACTTTATTATAAGAATAGACTTTATTCTTACATCAGCATATGAAGAAATCTAAATCTATAGTGTTTTGACCAAAAGATAAACTCACCCATAGTGTATCTCACAGGTGCTGAAACACCCACTTGCAGTCAGGATAAACCATTAAACCATTGTGTTTTGCCCAGATGTGACCTGCCTAGTAAACAATTAGCCTCCTCCAAAGATCTGGAACTTACTTTGGATTTATTTCCTTCAGATTCTTTGGCTGGTTGTTGTGCCTCCCTGTCAAGATTTCTACCCTACAATAGAATGCTGCCAAACTGATGACACTTTCTCATAAAGAAAAAAAAAAAAGATAATAGAAAATGAAAAAAGGAGTATGTAATAAAAATTAATACAT